GCTTGGGTTATGTTTGTAAAAATTGCTAGATGAACCACTCTGTGGAGATTCAAAACCATAGTTGTAACTGTTAGATCTGTTACCAGACCAACATCTTTTGCCTCTTCCTTGATTTTTTGAGTATCTACCTCTTTTTGATGAGAACTTGTTGTTTGGTGAGAAGTTGTTGTTTTGCTGCTGTGTAGTAACCATTGTTGAGGGAGCCAATGTAGTTTGATGCATAGCTTCAATAGAGTGTTCCTCAGCTCTTAGAAGGACATGAAGATCTTTAAGAGGCAAAGGTTGTTCACGAGTTCTGATAGAAGTATAGAAGGCATTATATTCTGTAGATAAACCATTAAGAGTGTAGATCAACATGTCTTCATCTGCTACACACACAGAAGTAGTTGCAAGTTTGTCATGAAGTTCTTTGAGTTTTTGCACATAGATGTCTATAGAATCTGATTCTTTTTTGATTGTTTTCCAACTGGAATTGAGCTGAAGAATGTTAGCTCTGGTGAGAGAAGAAAATCTTCTCTCTAGTGCCATCCAAATGGCATGAGAAGTTGTATAGCCAATAACATGAGTAAGAGCAGTTGGAGATAGTGTTGTGTTGAGCAACGTAATAAGAATCTGATCTTGAGTAAGCCAAGTCTGATACAAAGGATTTAGATCTGTAGTTGGAGCTCCTTCAGAATTTCGAAGAAACTGCTTTGGACAACGAATTGATCCATCAACATAACCTAGGAGAGAATGAGCTCTCAAGATTGCAGAAACTTGATATTTCTATGGGACAAAGTTTGTAGAATCCAGTCGAATTGAGACTAGATCACAGATATTTGATAGAAGAAACACTAGAGATTGAGACATTAAAGTGCTCATTGAAGCTGTTCAAGTAGAGTTCAAAGATGTTTGAGATTGAGAAAGAATCAACCATTGAGACGTTAATCTCTTTTTAGAGCTCTGATACCATGATAAATCTGTGCAGAGACTCAAGAACTCACAACAAGAAATGAAAAAACACAAGAATCATGATCAGAAATTTTTTTTGGAATTCATTTCACTTACTTTCATTTGTACAGATTACAAGTGTATTTATAGAACAATTAGACCACATCATTCACCCATGTAGTTGAGTACTAGCTCAGCATTTACCTATAACTAACTACCTAACAAACTATCTAACTACTCATTTAACTAGTAAAACTACTACATGTGTTATGCAAAGTGACACAATTTAAACAATGGGAAGCAAAATGAAATTGAACACATACTTCGATGATTACATTATTCTATCCGACATAATGAAAGAGAGAGTGCATGGATAAGGGAGGAGGACTAAATTGAATTGGAGCTGCAATTGTCCATTCAAAGAGGGTTTTTTGTAAACCAATGATTAACCATTGCCAAACATTCTTTAGGTTTGTACTTTAGAGGTGTGTGACCCGTTCCCTACACAAGTTATGAGAACATAATTAACTTCGATTTTCATTTTGGGGATCCAATTAGGCATGCATTGGATTTAAATCCAAGTTTGACCAATCCAAATCTAATTTGAAAATTTTGGTTCGAATATCTGACTAATTTTTTTTTCTTTTCATAATTTACATTCCAATCTGTTTGAAACCAAAATCTTGCCCTATCCGATTAGCTTGATTAAGATGAATTTTAGCATATTACATATGAATTTCAAATCTATTTCATTAATCGGATCAAATTTGAATATGTCAAATTAAATATAAGGGATTTGTATTTGAACTTGAGTTATCAGTCAAAAATATCAATCAATATCCGACTATTCGTATTTCGTACTCGGTTTCAGATGAAAGATCCATTGATACTTGATTGGCCTAAATACATCAATTGAGATATAAATTTAGCCAGAGAATCCATGCCTTTAATGTTGCTCATGTCAATGAGTAGTCATTGTGCGCATAAGCCACTGTTGACTTTATGTTGCAAAGAGGTTTGGAAAGTTTAGGGACTAACCTTGCTACTTGACCTTCGACAAACCATGGTTCCCATCTACTTTCAACTGACAAATTTAGAGATCGTATCCATTTTTCTGTGGCCAGATGTGGAACCATCAGGTCATGATCACCATTGTTGAAAGAGAAAAAGTTTTGTTGTAAGCATCTGTTAGACAATCTCCAATTTTAACTCAGACTTGAGTAAAAAGCTTGATTCAAGTAACTCAAATTTAAATGAGAACAAACTTAAATTTAAATGAGGACAAGCGTAATTTTAAAGGAGGGAAAAATATGATCATTGAATATTTAAAGAATGGTAAAATCTAATCATTGAAAATTTGATTAAAGTTCTATTCTCCCTTGATTTTTGTAAAAATTTGAGTCTTCATTAATTTAGTATGAGCTCAAGTAAAGGAGTGGAACTTGTTTTATGCATGCTTTTCCTCAAATTTAAATGTAGGGAGATTCAACTTTTGCAAAAAGATATGAAACAGTATCGGATCAAAAGACACCGAGTCGAAATCGACATTGTCCAACACTATGGGCCTTGTGCAAGAATGACTTGGGCATCCTACATATTTATGACTAATACAAAAACTTTGTAAGATGCAACAACACATAGGAGAGATATTTACCTGAGTATTAAAGCTTGACAATTTATGTTCGTTAAATTTCGATGGTAACCAATAGTACTGGGGACATTGAAAGTGTACGCTACCGTCGAAGTTTTACCGGTTGAGTATTGTAAGCTCTGATTGCAATGTAGTCATTCTATTATTGTTCCCTATTCAAAGAGAAAAATAAATAAATAAATTGGTGAAATTATCTGGAAGAGATTTGGAGCCTCTTCAACACACATTTCCCCATTTTTTCTATAGTTTTGATCATAAACCCATTTAGTGAGTCCCGCGTGCCAAAACATGGTAGTTGATCTAACCTTAAGAAAATTGGAAGAAAATTGAGTGAAGGTGCAGTAGAGAAGATGTCGATCAATTCAATTGTAATATTGCTATGTACCTCTCGAGTGTGAAGAGCTTTTTGTACAACTTTATTAGTGATCCATATGGTGGCATAATTATAAATATAGTTTTGCAAAAACAAAATAGAAAACTTTGAATATTAGTATAACCATTTTGTAGCTTTGAAGAGGTAAAATCATAACATTTTCGAGAAAAATTCCAAAAAAAAAAAATTATGCTACAAGGAGAGGGGATTACTCGACACCATGATCCCAAATGTTGAGATAGCGAGTAGAGGAAATTCACAGGATTCTCTTAAAGAAAATTTTTATCACATCTCAGCAAATTTGACTTCGTGTTCGTTGTTAAACACATGGGCTCTAAAATTTGTTTGCTATTTATTTTCTCGGTGCACTATACAAAAAAAGTAAATGATCTTCTTAAAACCCAAAAATATGAACTATTCACAACTGGTGAAATCCAAGGTAGAAACAGCTTACCTTGTCCACTTCATGTAGATCTTCTACACATAATAAATTGTTAGGATCTACATCCATGTGCTAGCCATGACAATCTTCTTTGGTTGACTGAAAAATTCATAAAAGATTACCAATTTTAGAATGATATCTTTGGTGTTTTTTTTTTTTTTTGGGGGGGGGGGGGGGGGTAA